AGGGTATAAAATATATTGATTTTCAATTTATTTATTATTATCGATATCAATAAATAAAACAATCCCTGTCGTAATTTCACATTTTAATAATATTCAATTTGTAATAAATTGGTTAAGGATGTAAGTTCGACTACCATAGCAAAAGAATTAATATTTTTGTTAGATTAAAGTTATAGAATTTAAGAAATGCATTGCAGAAATAGTATTTATTATTTTGATATAAAGATCTTGATATCTGAAATGCATTTCTTAAATTCTATAACTTTACTTTAACAAAAATATTAAGTGAAATAAATAAATTAATTTTTAATTCTGGATTTAGTGCACAAAAAATTAGATATAATCTAAAAACGTATAAAATATATTGATTTTAAATTTATTTAGAAAATCGAGGCGATTCGGGGGTTGATTGTAGTCAAATATTTTGTAATTTTCAATTATTTTTAACGTTTGTGCAATATGAATATTTAAAAAAAACTAGCATCTCTTTCGCAAAAATAATACTCGTATTTCATGTTGGTTTTTTTAAATTTTGATTTAATTTAATTTTTCATTATTCACAATATCCAAAATTGCGTCGTAAACTTCTCCTTATTGATATCGTAAGAGCCGTCATATTCAGAGTATCAGCTTGTTGTTTTAAAGTTAAATTTTTAACGTATTTTAGAAGTATTGTTCAAAAATCAGTAAAACAAATGCAAAGAAATTGCACATTTCTTGAACAATATTGAAAAAAAAACTTATTATATTTGATATATATCATTTCTGTATAGTTAATAATTATTAAATTTAGAGTGTGGACACCACTAGATATAAAACAAGCCTTAAAATTTTCGTTCCAAAGTAAATTTTGCTTCCATTTTTCATATTTGTTCCACCGATGTCTTCAACATTCAAAGTTCAACAGGTGCGAAACATTTGCAACAAAACCAAAAGTTACAATTCAATTTCTCGGAATAAACAAGTCATTTTCTAAGCACTGACTCCCCATTTTTTATAATTTGTTTATATTTTTTAACAAGTTCCGATTCAACTAAATCAGCTCGCAATTTTTCGTCAATAATGCCCAACAATTAATTTAATTTTTCGCAGGTTTGTCACATTGCATATCACATTGCAAAATAAATATACTTTTTGTGTCTCCGTATCCCTAGTTAAGTTAAATTATATACTATAATTTATTAAGTATTCTAGATTTTAAATAAATAATTCTAGATTTTATATAAAAAAATATAAGTATTATATTATAAATTTAATTTCCGAAACTCGTTTTGGCGCCCCCTAAGGCGTGCGCCCGCATTTTTTGCATGCATCGCATGCAAGGCAGGACCGGTCCTGGGTATATATATATATGTATGTATGTACGTATGTGAATATGCGTATATATATGTATGCACATGCATATATGTATGTGCATATTTTTGTACATATGTAAGAGTATATGCAGGGCTGGTCCTACCTTGAATGCAATGCATGCAAAAATGCAAGCGCACGCCTTAAGGGGCGCCAAAACGAGGTTCGGAAACAAAATTGATAATATATTATTTATATATTTTTATATAAAATCCAGAATACTTTATATTATAATAAACAATCCAACCTAACTATGAGACACAAAAAGCAATTCCTACAATTTCGATCTTCATTTTTATCACAGAGACGTTGATGAAATTCTTACCTATCTTCCTATTAAAAATTTCGAACTTTTACTTCACAGTTTCGACTCGTTTAACGAGCACTTTTCCTTTACTTTCGAAAAAGCACAAAACAATTCTATTAGCTTTTAGGCGTAAAAATTATAAAAACCATAGACAATCTAATTATTACTAATTGGTACCAAAAACCTACTACGTTGAGCAGGTATTTAAACTATCATTCTTACCACCTTTCTAGCATGAAGATAGGTACTATTATTGTTATTATTATTATTATTATTATTATTATTACTTTAGTGGATCATTACATCCTACTCTCAGACAAACAATTTATCTGTCATTCGCACGACTTTAATTAACAAGTCATATCCTCCTCATCTCATTAACTCCGCCACTGCCAATAGACTCAAAATTGCCAATAGTACGAATTTTTCTTCTTCCTCTATTAAAATTTCTAAAGGCAATAATTTTATCGGTAACGTTTGTCTACCATATATAAAAGAACTTTTCCCAGTGTGGAAGAAACTTTTTCATAATGTAGACATCAGGTTCACTTGCAATATAGATTTAACTCTTATTTCTCTTTATACAAATCTTAAATCGCCCACTAGCTTAAAACGTGCGTCCAATATTGTCTACAAATAAATTTCAATAACTGCCTTTCGACTTACGTGGGTAAAACTGGACAAAATCTGAAAACAAGACTTAAACAACACGGCAATAATTTTGAAAACCCGAACCAAAACCAAACCCTATTGACAGACCATATCAAAGATTTCAAACACACATTCAACTTTTATAATGCCCGTATTCTAGCACGAACGAAACACAATTCAGATACGCTTTGCAGAATCTTGCTTCATTGCCTTTGATAGTGATAGTATGAACAAGAGAAATTATACCTTCTCAATCTGCGAAAATTACAAAATTATATATAATAATATTTCTGAATTTATTTCCATTTAGTAAAACTAAATTCGTTTGATGCGGTCTCTAATTTTTTTCCACTTTGTAAAACTAAATCCGTTCATATTAACCTTATTCTGTTCATTAAAACCTTACCTAACCTAACACAGTCAATTGCGATCATAACCTAGCCTTACTCGCCTGCACACAGCCACGCTGATTGTAAAAAATCCCTTTCGATCGTAATTGCTATTGCTTGAGTTGAGGGACTAGGGCTGATGCAGAGTACGACATTATGGCGTGTAAAAAATGGAAAAAGAGTAGACAAGAAGGGTTGCTTGTGAGATGGTGTTAGGAAAGATTTAGTTTTTGGGAAAGAATAGTTTGGCTGTTTCAAAATTTTGAAAAAATTCAAAATTTTCAATAATTATTTTAATTATTTCTTCTTATACAGTTAAAAGAAGTATTTCTATCTTTTAAGCTTTTGTTTATTATTTTTAGATTTCTTGTAAACGGGGAGACGTGATGATTAGTTTTTGATAAATGTGGATCCAGCCGTTTCAAACAAACGTGGCAAAAAGTGCAAAAAATAGCAGTTTTTGAAAGAACCGAATTTCCGATTAAAATGATTAAAATAATTTTATATTCACGTTGGTGGGTAGAAGTGCGGGTTATTATTTGGCAAAGTCACGTTCAGCCGTGCAAAAAAAATTATGCTTGTGTTGATGGTATTAAGAAATTATTAGATTTTGGGTGAGCCTAATTCGGCTGTTTCAAAATTTTGCAATAAATTTAAAATTTTCAAAAATTATTTTTATTTCAAATATTTTATTTGTTTTTCAGATATTTCTAAAAAATCTGAAGTTTTCGAATATAGTTGAAAAAATATAATAAAAATAATAAATATGAGATAAGGTCCTCGGAGCAACATTCGAGTGACGAAAGATTTTTGCATTATATCAAATGTATCAATACTTCCAGCATTAGAACGAGTTTAGCAGTAAAATGATAAGGTATAGAGGGAGTTGAAGATTCGCGAGTGTAAAGATTTAAGTTACGTTATAATACTAAATAAAAAATATATTAAGTTAAAAAATAAATTTTACAATATATAAATTGAATTAATAGTTTTTCCAACTCTGCTTTAAAATATCCAGGTAAAAAAATGCATTATGTTAATAATGTAGCTTTCATTTTGGAAATTCCCCCATAAATTAAATTGAGACATTGGGTGTGTTTGCCCTCTATGAATAAAAAGAAAAAAATGAAAAATTTTAGAAAAAAAATTAGGCAATAACTGGAAAATTTTCTGAACATATTTTCATTTTTGGTTATTTGATAAGTGTTATGTGCTGTGAAATTGTGTATATTGGTTGGTTTTTACAACATAATTGCTGCTGATGTGCTTGTTACTCATATTATATTATATATTGCAATGCTGAATGGGATATTTTTTTCGATGATTCTTTTAATACAGATCAACAATCAAATCAATCACGAATACGAGCGCTATTTTCCATCTTGATACCAAAATGTAACAGAATCACATTTTTGTTTAAATTTTTATTTATATATCGTTATATATATACCACAATATTTAAAAATCAGTTTTAGATTAAGCTGGCACTTGCAATGCTTATTAATAACTCCAAGGAGCATTTATATGAAGCATACGTTGCAGTGGGTACACCACCAAATTCCTAAACAACGTTGCTGGTATTTATAATAATTATTTGAAAAAAAAAAAATAGAACTAGTGAGGTGTATGGCATCGTGCCTTACCCTACGGGAAGTTAACAAATGTTATTGACCAGTTTTTATTGATTATTGATTATTTTAAATGTTTGAATGTTCTATTATGGTAAAGGAAGTTTCAGCAATTTGCAATTTTTATTTCTAAACTGATGCATATATAAACATATAAATTCTAATACCATCCATCAAACGTATGTTGAAATTGGGATATCGGCTTGAAAAATGTTAAGAAATGGACAACGAGTACTACTTCAATTTTGAGTATAGGTTTATTTGATAATTGCCATTGCCAAAAACTAATCAGCATCTAAATGATTTTCCAATTATTCAAATCGGTTGATTTGTGTTCACGATATCGTGGATACACATTACACACACACATACCCATACATCCAATTTTTTAAGGTATGCCAAAATGTTCAAAAACTTCTAAAGCGTAAAGATATACAAAAATTTTCATTTTAGATATTTTTGCGATTAGATAACCATAGATAAATAAGTATAAACTTTAACTTACCCTACGGGGTAAAGATATTCAAATTCCAAATTTATTCAAATATCTTGTTGAATTGAACCATTTTTATTGTTACATAATTTTTTTTATCAGTATGAATTTTACTTTTGCAATTGTTGATTTCTGACTGAACAATTTTTGAATTATTAAAATATATTCACCATTTTTAGATAATTATAATTCTGTCGTCGATCGTCCTGGTATCAGGTACTTCGCCCCATGGAAGTGCAACAATCGTTCGATACGAAAACGAAGCTTTTAAACGTAAAGGAGATGGATACAATTTTATGTAAGTTAATTTATTAAATAATGTGTGAAAAACTCATCTGCACAACTTAAAAAAAAAACGCAATGAGTAAGTATAAGCAAAGTGAAAGTTTTATTACATTTGTTTATTTATTTATTTATTAGACGCATTAATTTTATTGCTACCCTATATAATGAACGTATGACAAAATGCCTCACTCAAATTACAATAAGGTTGTAGTACAAGCAGTTCATACTAAAAACTAGTTTTTCCAAATATGTAGAACATATTTTATCAATTCAAAATAACCCAAAATATTATTGAAAAAAAAACTAACCGTGTTAGTATTATCACAATACTAAATACTTTTTGTAATTATAGACTAGGTCTACTTTGAATACGAGTAACAAAACTACTATAAACACTATGTATATAGAAAAAAGATTTTGCAGAGTTTGATAAACGTTCGTAACAGTAATTAAAATTTTATTAAAAAACTTAAAAGTTACAAATTTTGTGCAGTAATACATGCAGCAAAATATAAATATTCTAAGTGAAAAATTTCAGTATGAATGGCGCATGATTTTTAAAAATCAGATCAACGGGCGGACAATCGAATTGACATAATGGGTATGGGCGCATTGCCATACAGAATCGGCCCCACCCTGGTATTTAAATAATTTATACACCATTTTATAGGTCTTTTTGATAAAAACCGATATAACAATTTTCAACTTTGTACCTCATCTTATGGCCGAGATATCATTGAAAATATGCCAAAGTGGCCCCTTCTTTCAAACTCACTTTTTGGCGATACCATAAAAGATATCAAAAAAATGTTTACGTGATTCTACTCACATTGACTCAGACCACATTATGTAGAACAATCGATGCCAAAAAATCGTTTATTATTAGCTGAAAAAGATAAAATAGTTTTTCAATTAATGTTTTCGGGTAGTGCGTTTAGTAGGACGACTTTCTAATTAGCGTTATTCGAAAGCCTATTGTTTTTTCTTCAAGTACTGCAAATATTGTTCAAATCAATTTAGTGGAACACATTGGAAAATTGAAAAAACAGACCTAGTACACCCGCCGAGTTCGTTCGGACGCGAAGCAGTGCGCGATGCGCCCGAAACGATTCTTAAGAAATTCTGAATGTAAAAATATTCAAAACTAAACAAATGTATTATATTCTAGGTACGAGACAAGTGACAAACAAACAAGAGGTGAAGGTGCCAAATTCTTGGGAGCAGAAGAAATCCTTACTGTAAAGGGAACCTACACTTATACCGATAACAGAGGAAAATTACACGATGTCAGTTACATTGCAGATGATAATGGATTTAGGTGGCTCAAGCATGATGAACAGTACCAGACGAAGAAAGGTCGATCGCTTCTTAGATCTGAATCAGAAAATAATGACAGCAATTCAACGGATAACGATCTACCAAAGGGTCTAGATGGCAGTCTCCTAGATCATGAAGGCGGTGGAATAAATCCTGCTATTCCGAAAAGTGAGAAAAAAAGTTTGATTAGTCAAATTCATGAATATTCAGAAGGTTTGAAGAGTAACAGAGAAGATGTTCCTAATAGATTTGAGTCGAGAACAAATCTACCACAAAATTTTGACGCTAATTTAAATCGTCTTTTAGGCAGCACAGAAGGACAAGAAGGACTTGCAGGCAAGCTAGGAGAACATATTGATTTTACAGACAATTTAGGAATTCCTGTTTCTACCGGCGCAGGACCTTCCGTTACCATTGTAGAAGGAATAACTGCTGATCGGTTTGCAAATAGTTTTCGTGGCAATTTATTAGATAACAATAACAAATTTCCACCAAATTTGTCTTCTCCCGAACACAATGATTCAAAATATCGGGGATATAGCAAGTCCCAGCTGGCCGATTTGGAATTAATAGAAAAACTGAAAAAACGAAAACGCGGTCCAGGTTTTAAAGGTTATATCATAAAAAATACGGCTACCACTTATTCTATTAGATATTACTGGAAAGAAGGTAGCTTAAAAAAATTATATACCGATTGCCAAAAAGAAGACTTGCCATTGCAGGTAAAGTTGTTTTGCGATTCGCAAAGTCAGTAGATCTTTTAAAACATCACGAAATAAACAGAGTTGGAATAATTATGTGAGTGCTTGTTCCTTATTCCTAGAGTGCCATATCGTACGTTTAATTGACATTTATGTAAGGTTTTCGTGAAATTCTAAAATAACTATTTTACACTTCAAAATGTTAGATTTAGATTACATTATGTTACACTTCAAAATGTTAGATTTAGATTTTGGGAAGTATCATATGGTTTCGTACAGTGCATATATATATATATATATATATATATATATATATATATATATATATATACATATATATATATATACTAGCTGACCCAACAGACGTTGTTCTGTACCCATGTCTACAACCTATACTAATATTTACCATTTAGTTAAAACTAATCATTAATGTTATTAAGATTACAGTCTATACCAAATTCTATGTACATTAATGTGAGCGATGTTGAATGTAGAACTGCATTAAATAAAATGTTGAGTCTCAATTTCTACAATTACTTAAGTCTTTAATTATACTCTGAAATTCGAATCAGCCACGTAAACACATACAACATATATCAAACAAAAAAATATCGAAATTTATTCATTAAAATTGCAAAAATCATACACTACAATTATTTTAATGCCAAGGGTTATGCAATATTTTTATCATACATGCAGATGTAGATGTATAAATAAATAATTTTTGAAGTAAAACTTCTTTAGACGCGACTAGGGTGTAAATCCGTACAAATGCAACGGAAGTGCGTTATGGAAGATAAGATAAGAGTCGAGTGCCAATGATTCGTCATTCGCTCTCGATGATATCATTTCTATACGGGTCGATTGTGATTAGTCGTCGCGTATGTGAATAGAGATCAGTCGTTGTGTGCGTACTGGCGTCAGTGTTGTATGCGTACCAATGAAAGTATTTTAATTTTAATTACATGAAGTTCTTCAAACACAATTATTACATGATAAGTAAAGTTGCGAAAACAATATTTGTTTAGGCGTTTTTTAACATAATCCACTGTGTGAACGAATATTATAGAAGTTATTAATCAGCAATTACTTCATTTCTCTAATGAAGGTTGCTAATTACAATGACAAACCAATCATGTCATATTTGAAGTATGACTTTAATTACATTATTGTTTTTAAATATTATACATATTTTTAATGATTTAATAGCATATAACAACATATAATTTATAATTTATCATTATATAAATGTGTCTAATGGTTGACACTAATAAATGTGGGCATCACGATTGTTACTATATTGCTAATAAGCATTATTCAAAATTGTTATATGACGTATTTATTTTTACTTAAATGCCATCTTGTACAGTAGCAAATAAGTTTTACTTCAATCGCGTGTGAACCTTACACGTACTCTTTTTTTTATCCAGGGCTAAAACATTGATTTTACAAATTTATCCCACAAAAATTGTGATGTATTTTTACCCAAAACAATTGCTTCAATAATGTTGCCTATATTTTTTATAATCTAGTACCATGTCTTAATTGTTTACAGTAATTATGAAATCTAAATTACATTTTTCTTACTAATAATTTGATATTCATTATTACTTAATTTCATATTTTCAACTACCCTTACAATTAGTATAAGTTATAGTAATGGGCCTAAAATCATAAATGAAAATTTTTGTATATCTTCATGTTAAAGTTAAAAAAAAAAATGGTACGTGAAGTGCCAGCAATTTGCCTTAAGGCACAATGCCATACTCCACTAGTTATTTTCATAAATGATAGCGATAAGCTTAGATAGGTATTCATGTTTGATTTTGTTTTTGCTTTAGAATGTATGTTATGTAATTAGTAATACAAGTGATCATTTAAAGAAGTTAATGAACGTTATAAAAGTAAACTGGACTAAGCGATTTATTATTTTCTTTTGCACTATTTGAACAAGAACATGGTGGTGGAGTGTTACGAATGTATACGTGGCACTCATACATATGCATAAATTGCGCATAACTACCCCTTCACTTATTTGCGTAGGAGAGGCATCCCTGAGAGGAGTGTAACCGCAAGATTCAGTGTTTACTGAATTATTGGTTAGTCGGATGATGCGGTTAATTTGTATTAGTTTGAACAATTAATTCAGCTCATTTTGATTTGGATTAGAAGTGGGATTTAGTTCAAGTTTTATATTTATAATTATTGAAATTAATAATTTTACGTTTAAAAATGGTCTAAATCAATAATTCTAATATAATTATCTATAATTCTATACAGACTAAATATATAAAAATATTATACAATTGTCATTTCAAATATTGTTTTAATGATTTCATTACAAAAAAAATAACTAAAAAAAACATTGTAAAAAATATATATACATTGTTTTCTATTGTAAATATATAATTTGTCATTATAATTAATAATAAGATTCATCATATTACGTTTTCATAAGAATGTAGTTCTTGCCTAAATAGCTCTTCAATATCAGACACCAACATATTAACTAATTGGTCATCATTATCTGAATTCACCAAATCACATATTTGTCGATTTGCCTCTGAATTATTTAATATATAGGCAATACATTCATGCTTCAAATTTTCTGTTTTTAATAAAATACTCTGTTCATATAATTCATGCACACTATTGGATTTTAAAAGAAATTGCACAATAACTTTACACACAAATGAATTCAAATCTTCAAGTAAATATTTGTCAGTTAACATAAGAGCTTCCGCGGCCGACTTCATTGTTGCTGGCAGTGGAGGGTTAATATCATCACTTTCTAAATCCAAATATAGAAGTTTAAAAAAGTACTTCATCGAATCTTCTTCTACATTATCTAGATGTATAATTCCTCTATTTTCTAAAAAATCGCTATTAAGCATTACTTCAAAAACTTCTGATTTGTCTATCAATATCTTTCTGTCTACATATACTTCAATCCCACCATTCAAAATAAATGTAATTTTATCTTTAGAATCTGCTGGTATTGAAAGATCCTTCGATGGAATATTTTTAAAATATACTTTTGATTCAGATTTTCTTTTAAGTATTTTTGCATAATTTATGAATGCTAACAAAGCCCTTTTTTTGTGTATAGGATCATCAAGTAAATTTAATAAAATTTCTAAGGCGCCAAACTTAAATAAAATTTTTCTCAGAATAATAGCAGAGCTGTAACAAAAGTAGAACATTATTTTTAAACTTTTAATAACAAATAATATCTAAAAATGTAAGCAAGTGAACTTTTGATAACAAATGCATGATTAGCTTCGATATACATATTTGCATTAGTACTTTAGATTTTCGATTTATTGTCTTAAATAATTTATACATATATATTATATAATATACTCTCTGAAATATTTACTGGGATGCTTCGAATAAGTTTTGCAACATGTGCAATACATCTTAATACTGCCTTTTGTGTATACTGCATACATTGATGTAAGTATGTATACTTTTGTGCATTTTATTTTGACAATAAAACATTTATCTTCAATAAAATAGTTTCAATTATTGGATGGACACCCAAAAACAACTTCATTATATATTTATTTTTCCTTAGTAACGAAATTGTAAAATGTTTTAGTTAAAAATAGTACTTGTATTCATTTAATACGCGCTATGCGCCTTTCAAACGGACGCGCGACGCGACTTTCCCTCGAAAACATTTAATATCTTCCGATGTAACAGTCATCCCATCGAATTGTAAAAATAATTTTTAAGTAGATAAAAAAAGAAACAATATGGTTTTTTACAAAATCGATTTAAGTTGGGGCGCCCGTATGTAAAACCAATGTTAACAATCAATTGTTATTATTTTTAAAATAATTGCAAAAACATTAATTTTTTTTAAATTACTTCAGTTGAGTTTATAATGAATATAATAACAAAAAACAATACTGATCTGATCAACACAACTGAAGATAATTAACATAATGCAAAGGAAGATCATAAAAATTGAAAAAATCGGCAATATTTCAATCGTAAATATCAACGAAAAAAATTTTTTCCGACAAAATCCTGAAATACGTGTCAAATGATTTTATCTATAATATCTATAAAAAAAATTCAGCCAATTCTAAAATGTCACATTTTTTTTTTACCAAAATCCGCCCGATTTGTAAAAGAATGACCCATATATGTGTATATATATATATATATATATATATATATATTTATTTATTTATATAGATATGGGTGTATGTCTATATATATATATATATAAACCATACATTCAATATATAAATTACAATGACATATTAAAAAATTACAAATTTTTTAAGAATAAATATTTTTTCTGTACTTACTCAATTAATAGAGAAATATTCAGTATGTATTTTCTTCGCAAATCCATAGTTCCTAGACAAAGGATATTCTCTATTTCTCCAACGCCACATGCGGATTCAGCAGTAATTTGTAATTTGTTACGTAATTTAATTATCCTGTCCTTTATCTAAAAGAAAAATATAGTTAAAAGATACCATAATATATGTAAAAAATTTTGGATCAATAATATTCATAGTTTTTCCGGAAAAAAATCTGAAAAATTATTTTTTTTCGTATATAACCCCTTGGAAACCCTCAGACTAATTTTATTACATTTACATTTTATTTTAAAAATTCAAACTTCTCACACAAAAATTGCCAATGCACATACATCCGCATACACACACATACATCATTTTTTTCTGAAATACATATGTCTAAATGTTCAGAATGCTTTGAAATGTAAATACATGAAAAAAAATATTTTTTGCTACTACTATTACTAAATAGCCCTATGAGCAGTTAATAATTTCATTGCAACAAGATTATAATACTCACTTTAATGCATTGACTACACTCAGGTACATTAGCATTAATAATATTGTACATCTCTAATACTAAATCAGTCTTCAAAAGAGTTTTAAGATACTCTACTCGTCTGAAAAGAAGTATATATGTAAAGAAGTATATTGTCTGATAACATGGACTCATTTTCTTAAACCTAATACATATTGTTTGGAGACCTTCACATGCTGTTAAATTTCAAAAAGCATATTGTTACATCTAGTAAAATATATATAGAAAGTTAAAAAAAATTTTTTCAGTTCTAATAACCGGTAATGCAGCTCTGCCAATTTCATATAAAACTGTTGTAATATACTATAATCCACTCACCCTAATATTTCATTCACTGCATATATAACATATTTTATGCCTTGTGTTGATTCAATTAAAAATTTTAGTAGAGATATTATGGTTTCTGCTTGTGCTAATTGCGGTATAATGCAACCGTAGAAAGTTATTTGCTGTAGCAGCCTTACACATGTAAGAATGTCACGATTACAATCCTCTTTGGTTTCTAAAATTAAAAGTTATAATTCATTGAAATCTAATATGAAAAATATTTGCAAACAATATTATTTAAAATTAATAATTAGAAAATAAAATGGTAATGAGGGCTTTAAAGATTCTTCTTTCAAGAAACATTTTGCCTATTTTTTTTCAACTAATTTTATATGTTCATGGTCCTATTCTCGAATACTCTTTTTATGCAATAAATAATATTACAAAGCAGTTCTCAGCATTTTATTCTATATGGCACTGTAGAGACCACAAATGCCTCAAAATAATAGGTACTCCTGCATTGCACTTATAAATAAAATATGTGGAAAGAAAAACTAATGTCATTTTGAAATTATGTGACGTTATGTGCTTTTGATATACAGTTTTAAAGTTAACAGTATCAACAATTTAAATAAATGCTGATATAGGAAAAACTTTTTGACAGTTTTTGAAACTAACAGCACATTGAGAGTTAACATCAAGAAAGAATGTTATATTGATATATAAAAATAAACTAGTGCTCCGGGAGTTAATATTAGCTAATCTTCAGCATACACTTATTCAAAACATGTTATGTTACCATGAAAACCTGGTAATATAACATAGTTATGTCAACAGAAAATAGATCGATCAATATAACTTTTTTTTTTTTAAGTACCGGAATTCCGTGATAAAATTACACCCAGAAAAGACTAAATGGTATGACAACATAATTTCCAATTATTAAATTTAAATTAAAAAGAAATTGTTGAAGTTATACCAAAATCATTTAATGTTTCATCATCTTGATTGATTGTAGAATTACACTCATCTTGATCATACATTTCATCAATAACAGTAACTTTATTTACATCTGAAGGACAATAATCATCTACATCTAACCCCTCGTCCTTTGTAAAGTCGGCCTCCCCTTCATTATCGCTGCACACAGGAGAATAACTCTCAAAATCATCATCTGTCAATGAATCTGAAATTAAAATTAAACATTAATACTAAAATCAAATTATTTGTTAATTAATGTGAATGATTTACATCGAACATAACTAGTGGTGTGTGGCATCGTGCTTCAAGGCAAATTGCTGAAACTTCCCTAAGCATAACTAAAATATTGTATGAATTTTATAACGTGATCTAAATGGACATTGACTCAAACCACAGACGTTGCTACATCAAATTGAGAGCGATCACATTCGTTGGTGGAAATGCTCATGTAATTTGTTCGGTGGAGTAAAATACAAACCATGGACTTTGATTATAGCACAAAACTACAAATGTCTTCAAAGTTAAGATTACATAGAAATGTTTCAGACTAAATATTTATTAAAAAATTTTTTTTGAAAAAAGTTTTTTGAAAACAAGTGTGAACGATTTGGATGGTTCAAAAAATCATTCGATTCCTATTGATAAGGAGATGTGCTGATTAGATTTTGGCAAAGGCAGGTCCAGCCGTTTCGGAGATACGGTGCAAAGTGTGGGGAAAATTAAAATCGAGATTTTGAGAGAACAGAGCATCCAATTTGAATGATCTCAAAAACATTCAGTTCGTAATGATGGGAAAGAAGTGATGATTAGTTTTTGGCAAAGGCAGGTGCAACCATTTCGAAGATACAGAGCTAAATGTGGAAAAAAGGCAGTTTTTGAGATAACTAAGCGTCCGATTTGAATTATTCAAAGAACTTTCTGCTTGTTTTAACAAAATAATTGCTTTTGAGAAAAAAAATTTGTTTCAATTTTTTTTTTCAAAAAAATTTTTTTTCAAGATTTTTTTTTGTATATCGAAAATAACTCAGATTTTATTTTTAATTCTGCCTAAAGTTCCAATATACTTAGAACAAATAATTTGAACTTTGCAATTCAATTATATTTATAATAATAATAATTTGCAATTCAATAATATTTATAATTCTCATAAATATTAGACAATATTACAATATTTATAATAATCTATAATTCTATCTAATAAACATTTAATATTCCTCGAACATTTCGTTACGGTACGGGAAGTTACAACAATTTGCCGTAGGACAAGTTATAGTAATCGCAAAAAAATCGAAAATGAAAATTTTTATATATCTTTAGCTTAGAAAAAATGGATGTATATGTGTGTGCGTGTGTGCGGATACAAATTTTCGTCGACGATTTCGGGAACACGGATCAACCGATTTGAATAATTCGATTCACACATTATGTGTAAATTTTTTTGGGTTCTGTACCAAGATTTTTGATTACGGTACGGGAAGTACCAGCAATTTGCCTTAAGGCACGATGCAATCCACCACACTAGTTAACTTCCCGTAGGGCAAGTTATAGTAATTGCAAAAAAATCGAAAATGAAAATTCTTATATATTTTTACGTTTCAGAGGTTTCTGAATATTTTGGCATATCTTAAAACAATGGATGTATGTGTGTGTGTGTGTGCGTGTATGTATGTGTGTGCGGATACAAATTTTCGTCGACGATTTCGGGAACACGGATCAACCGATTTCAATAATTCATTCGATTCGTATTGATAAGGAGACGTGCTGATTAGTTTTTGGCAAAGACAGGTCTAGCCGTTCCGAAGATACGGGCCAAAAAGTGCCGAAAACGACAACTCAGTTTTTAAGAGAACGAAGCGTCCGATTTGAATAACTCAAAAAACATTTCACTTGTATTGACAAGATGAAGAATTGATCAAATTTTCATGAAGGCAGGGTCTAGCGGTTCCGGAGATCTAATGAAAAAAGTAAAAAAAAAATGCCATTTGGCGATCAAAAATGATCATTAGACATATGCACATTAAATTATCAGATATTTTATAGAGATTTTAACAATAAGTATGAATTTTGTTTACATTTCTATGGGTTCCGTACCAATGCTTATGCGTTAGACATTTTGTTTTTTGTTTAGACATTTATGCGTTAGATGCGCTTTGACATTTCGTCTCTATGTAGTTCAAGCAGTACGATTGCTTTGAAAAAAAGTTCAGAATTTCCAAAATATGTCAAAACGAAGAAAACATTTTTGTTTTCAAAAAAGTTTTGTTTTAAAAAAAAATTTTTTTTTCAAAAAAAAGTAATTTTTTGTCAAATTTATAGTTTCTCAAAAATCTAATTTTTTCGAAGTAAATTTTTTTCAAAAATGTTAATCGTTTTTAAAAAAATAATAATTTTTGGTACGGAAAGTTCCAGCAATTTGCCTTAAGGCACGATCAGGGCCGTGCCTGACAGGCGTTCATTGCGTGCACCGCACGCAGGCGGCCGAAATTAAGAGGCGGCCAAATCGTTACAAGTTGTTTACTGGGCAAAAATACAATCGGTTTGTTTTCGAAGTAAAAACAGTTTCTCTAATCTAATCTATCTAAAAAGAGTTTCTCAGAAATAAGAATGTATAAAAACTGATTAGGTTGTTGTAGTATTTATATACCTAGTCATCAGGGCCGTGCCTGGCCAGCGTGCAGTGCGGGTCGAGAGGCGGCCAAATCAAAAAAAGAACAAATTTAAAGGCGGCCATAACAAAAACCGGTAGAATTAAAAGTCTGATGAATTAAATGGCCGACAAATTGAAAGACTGCTAGATTAAGGGCGGCCAACTAAAAGTCCGCTGAATTCATTCGCAGCCGTATTGAAAATCCGCTGAGTTAAAGGGCCACAGTATACCGTGTGATTAAAAACATGGTTCATATTATAATCAGCCGAAGGCGGCCGTATTAAAACCGAAATCGTATCAAAAGCGGCTTTTTTTATCTATCATATAGCCCACAGAGTAGCTCCAGGAGGACTTAAAAATTTTAATATTACATATTATAATAATACAAGTATACTAATATATGATACAACAATACATAACAATATAATTCATAACAATACATAACACAAAATAAAAGAAACTATCAAATACTTAACGGTAAAACTAAATTATTTATGATGGAAATAACATATTCGCGACAAAATATCAAGATTAACTTGTACAGATGGCAATTAATTGTTTTGCTGAAGTATTGTGAATATCGATATCTTTATTAATTGAGTTGAAATTAGAGGACATTAGCACTATAGGTGAGTTTAATAGAGCATTAGTCTTAGGAGTAGGATATTTGAAAAACATTTGAGTTCGTGATGAGAGTCTAGGAACGTTAAAGGATAGTTGGTCTAGAATTTGAGGACAATCTATGGCATTATTACATAGTGGAATATTATTACATTATTACATATGCAGGAACAAAATACTATCAGTGAAACGACGTGTAGCAAGAGATGTTATGCAAAATGCATTAAGTAAAATATTGTGGTCGAAATCTCGTTCAGGGTAAATTTTGTGCGTTTTAAAATATAGATATTTTAGAAATTTTCTTTGAACCTTCTCTATCGCATCTGAATTATTGGTATGGTTAGGATACCAAATAATCGATCCATACTCCAGCTTTGAACGTACAATTGCGTAGTATATGCTAATTAGTGACAAATTAGATTCAAATTGTTTGCAGTTTCTTAATATTATTCCTAGTGATTTTTGCGCCTTGCTACATATGTTAGATATGTGATCTGTAAAAGTCAAACTAGAATCAAATACAATGCCTAAGTCAGATATTTTATCACACCTTTCTATGCAGGTGTCAGAAATTTTATAATCAAAATGCGTCGGAACGCGCTTGTTTGTAAAGCTAATAATTTTGCATTTAGAAATATTCAGATCCAGTTTGTTTTGAACACACCAGGAGTGAAATGAATTTAGTTGAGACTGCAATACTAGGCAGTCACCTATTGAGTTTATTTTAAGATATAACTTGAGATCATCTTCAAACAATAGATGAGGACAATTAATTACTTCCGATATATCGTTAATAAAAATATTAAATAAAAGAGGACCAAGGGTGGACTCCTGGGGCACACCCGAGCTGACAGTTGCAAAGTTACTTAAAAATCCGTTAAGAAAAACAAACTGTTTACGATTTTGAAGATAGCTTTTACAAAAAATAAGTAAGTGATGTATTAAAACCAATTTTAGATAATTTAGTAAGAAGAATATTATGATCTATTTTATCAAAAGCTTTACTAAAATCAGTTTAAATTACATCGACTTGTCCGTTAATGTCAAGATTCTCAGCTAGAAATTGTTTAATACATATTAGATTAGTAGTTGTGGAACGAGCAGGCATGAAACCAGGTTTTATCGATGGAATTAGTTTATTAAATACAATTTTTTCAAAAACTTTAGCAAAATTTGATAATAAAGATATGGGTCTATAATTAGTAATATTAGATGGGTCGCCATGTTTAAAAATTGGTACTATACGCGCGAACTTCCAAGAACTCGAAAAAGTGTTTATACTTAAGGACAGATTAAATAAAAATGTAAGTGGATTACAAAGAGTAGTTGAACAATCACTCAAAAGAGCTTTGTTTCCAAATTATTAATAAGTGTATAAACTTGGTGTAAAGCGTAACTCCGCCTTAAAACAAGATGCATGAATTTTTGAACACGTGTAAATAATCTACTTAACTATAAATAAAATATTAATTCATGAGTGCATTGCAATGTGAAAAACTATCGCATATTATTCAATTTTGTACAAAGTTTCTAAACATGTTAGTTATTTTTTATAAATGGTTTCAAAATTAAATATTATTGAACAAGAAACAAACGTATGTTCATTAAAAACATGATCTAAAATCGCACAAAAAAATTGTTAAAATAACTGAGAAAATTGTTAAAATAACTGAAACAACTCAACCGATCATTGACAAAAACTAATCAGCACGATTTTCAAATAGTACCTTTGAAATGGTTTTGGAAATTTCAAAATCGATTCACGAATTTAGACTATGGACGAAATTTTTTACACTTTTGACAATCCTAAAGAAACGGCTCGGTCGATCGTGAAGCAAAAGTAACCAGCACGAGTGCTTATCGAATGTCATCGATTTTTCAAATAGGATTGCGCATTTTTATAAAAAACGTAGACTAAAGATGAAATGCCTCACGTAAAAAAGTGCAGCTCATTTTTTCAAACTGAGCTAATATTTTAAAAATTAAAACGACTTGTAAGGTGGAAATATTTAGTTATATTTAAGATCATGATCTCTATCGGCAAAAAAGTTTTATAAATATCATCGTCAAAATATATTAATATGAATATTTAACAATTAAATAAATAAACGATTCGTCCGATCTCTTAAAACTAATCAGCACGATTCTCAAATGATATCTTTCAAACAGTTTCCGAATGTTTGAAAACGATGCAGGATTTTGGGCTAAAACATGCACGAAAATTTGTAAACTTTTCTGTTGATTAGAAACGGCTTGGCCGATTGTTGCACTAAACTGACAGACGGTAGTCGTTATCTAGTTACATCAAATGACTTAAATTTTTGAAATCGATTTACCCGGTTTTCAGAGAAAACGTTGACAAAAAATTAAAAATTGGCTCGTATACACACTTTTTTTTAACTTCCCGTAGGGTAAGTTGTTTTTACATTTCTCGACGTTTGGAAGGTTTCTGAACATTTTGGCATACTTCAGAAAAAATGGATGTGTGTGTGTGTGTGTATGTATGTATGGATACAAATTTCTAGTCACGTTTTAGGGCGCACGGATCAACAGATTTGAATGGTTCAAAAAACATTCGATTCTTATTGATAGGGAAAAGAGCTGATTAGTTTTTGGCAAAGGCAGGTTCAGCCGTTTCGGAGATACGGAGCAAAGAGTGCAGAAAATAGAAATCGAATTTTTGAGAGAACGGAGTATCCGATTTGAATGATCTAAAAAACATTCAATTAGTAATGATTGGGAGAAGTGTTTATTAGTTTTTGGCAAAGGCAGGCCCAGCCATTTTGAAGATACGGAGCTAAATATGTAAAAAATGGTAGTTTTTGAGAGAACTAAGCGTCCGATTTAAATGAAAGAACTTTCTGCTTGTCTTAACAAAATAATTGATTTTGGAAAAAAAATGTTGTTCCATTTTTTTTTTTAGTTTTAGTTTTTCTTGTATATCGAAAATAATTCAGATTTTTATTCTGACTAAAGTTCTAATACATATAACTTAAACAAAAAAATTTAAATTAGCAATTCAGTTTATATACTTCTTATAAATATTAGACAATGTTACAATATTTATAAAAATCTATTTGAAAACATTCAGTATTTCTCGAACATTTCGTTACGGTACGGGAAGTTCCAGCAATTTGCCTTAAGGCACGATGCCATAACTGCCTCAAGACAGAATTCCACTTACAGCTAGTTACAAATTTGGTCTCGAACGATTCAGAATGACTAGGAACATAGAGAGAATATAAAAATTACAAGTCGAGAACATATTTGATATTTTCCTATTATGTTATTTTCAAGGGCGGCCAAAAAATTCTCGCACGCAGGCGGCCACATACCCAGGCACGGCCCTGGGCACGATGCCTTAATTGCCTTAAGACAGAATTCCACTTACAGCTAGTTTAATTATACAAATCGGTTGACCCGTGTTCCCGAAATTGTTGACGTAAATTTGTATCCGCACATACAAACACAAATTGCTTCAAATGCTGGCTAATCGAACATTATGGAGCACAGTGCAAGTGTAAAGTGAATCGGACCAATTTATGCATTAGATGTAAAAAAGAAGGTCACAAAGTAGCCAATTGTATATAAATGCAGCAAAATGTGCACTATGCGCTAAAAATGGAAACACTGAGAATGTAGCCCATCATGCCGGCACTCTACAAGATGTCTTGTATGGCCTTGGAGAAAATAATGAACATAAAAACATGAAGATAATACAGCTAACCATGAATCATTGTAGAGCTGCACACGACTTGCTGCAGATGATAAAAGAAATGAAAATTGATATTTCCCTCTTATCAGAACCTCACAAACAACTAACTGATAGACCATGGGAAACGGACAGTGCCACCGAAGCTGTTATTAACTATTAAGGTCCTGTTAACTTCCCGAAGGAGAAGTTTATGTTTTCATCAAAAAATCCGAATTGCTAATTTTATGTTTTCTCGACGTTTCAAGCCATTCTGAATGGAATGAGACCAAATTTGGAAAAATTTGGAAAAAGTATGTGTGTGAACAGATTTTTTGCCGTAAATCGACGTTTTCTCAAAAATGGCTGGACCAATTTCAAAAATTTAAAAGCCATTCGATGTATCTCGATAAGGACTAGCGTTCCTAAGTTTTGTGCGACGATCGGCCGAGCCGTTTCTTTGTAAATCGCAGAAAAGTGAAAAAATATTCGTCCACGTTTCAGCCCGCAATTCTGAATCGATTTTGAAAATTCAAAAACTGTTCGAAACATATTGGTTGGGAATCGACCTGATGGTAAAGATCGGCCGAGCCGTTTTCTTGTAATGAGGCGTTAAAATTTTTTTTCGACGGTTTTCATGATTTTTTTTTTTTGACGGTAGTTACCATAGTCTTATAGATCATACTAGAATATTACGGTCCTACGACAAGTCGTTTAATTTTAGAAAATCGTCAAAGTTTGCAAAAATTAGTGTCGTTTTTTTGGCGTTTGTCAAAATTAAATCTTTCATCGACGTTTGCTCAAAAACGCCTGAACCGATTTCAAAAAATTAAAAGCCAATCGATGTATTTTGATGTGGATTATTTTTTCTCGGTTTTGTGCAGCGATCGGCCGAACCATTTTTTTGTAATTTGGAAAAAAGATTTAAACTGTTTGTCCACATTTAAGCTCATACTAACGAATCGATTTTCAAAAATCGAAAAACTGTTCGAAAGATATCATTTGGGAATGATACTGATTAGTTTTAGTTGAAAATCTATCTATGTAATTAACTGTTGAAAAAAAAATATAAGCCGATTTTTATGGAACTTTTTTTTGGCAATATATATCCTGGTCTTAAAGAACTTATTGAAATATTACGGCCTTATGACCAGTAGTTTAATTTTAAAAATTCATCAAAGTTTGAGAAAATAAGTAGTTTTTTTGACGGTTGTTAAAATTAAAATTAGACGATTTACTTGGTTTAACGCTAGAGTACTTGGTCTTAATGAACATACTAAACCATTAAAGTCCTACGGAAACTGGTTCAATTATAAAAATTATAGATTTTTGAAAATTTGCTTTTAGAAAATACTCCGAGTTAACGCGTTTGTTTGTTTATGTGTAAAAAATCCACTCGGATTACTTTTAAACACTCATAAAATAATTTATTTTTTATTGATTAAATCGACATATCGAGAAGTTCGTGTAACTTGCCTCAAGGCAAAATACCTATACCAACTAGTTAAACTTTGCACAATAATACAATATAGATGAAATAGTTTAAATCAAATCTATGAAATTTCTGTAAATTATATATCTAGTTACCTCTTCTTGGAGGTGTTGCATCCATGCTTGCGTAACCTGTGCTATCACTTTGTGGACTCCACAGGGCTTTACTACTATTGCATGGTGATGAAGGAATTGACGATAAATAATAAGTAAACTGAGCATTATCTCCATCCATCAATAGTCTCTATCAAAAAAAAAAATTGTATATATATATATATATATATATATATATATTGAATAGTCTTAAATTTGATGTTGATATATATGTTTAATTTGAGTTTAATATTCGGGCGTAACATCAATAAAAATAATAATTTAATAAAATAATATTTTTATTGATGTTACGCCCGAATATTAAACTCAAATTAAACATATATATATATATATATATATATATATATATATATATATATATGAGTAACTTCTTCAAGGGCATACATCAAATAAAAGGCATAAAAGTGCCTTTTATTTGATGTATGCCCTTGAAGAACTTACTCATATTTCTCAACATCAAAACTAACTTCTTTAACATATATATATATATATATATATATATATATATATATCTATATATATATATATATATATATATATATACATAAATATTTAATTTGAGTTATAAAGTCGGGCGTTACTTCAATAAAAATAGTATGAGAGATTTTAGAAATTTATTTAAAATCCATACGTTTCGGCTAGCATCTTAACCTTCATTCAGTGGCAATCAATTTAAAATTTTGTATTTTGAAAACATTATAAATCCATGGTATGAGTATGTGCACATTGATAAAATATATATTTTTTGACATCATAGATGGTAAATTAAGAATTAAGAGTTTGGGATAGAAATGTCGATTTCTATCAAACTCCGAATAGTAAATACATAGTTTCTACAACTTGTTATGTTATCATGTTTATTTGGGTGTTTTATCATTTGTGATGTTAAAAAATATATACTTTATCAATGTCCACATACTCATACCATATATTAATAATGTTTCCATGTGGATACAAAATTGTAAGTGTTTTTATTATTATTATTATTATTATTATTATTGTTTTTTTATGAAATTTCTTATATATTATTTATTTAGTTTTAATTAACCTCCCGTAGGGCAAGTTATAGTAATCGCAAAAAAATTGAAAATGAAAATTTTTATATATCTTTACGTTTCAGAGGTTTCTGAATATTTTGGTATACCTTATAATTAGAAAAAAAAATGGATGTATGTGTGTGCGTGTGCGTGTGTGTATGTGTGTGCGGATACAAATTTTCGTGGACGATTTCGGGAACACCGATCAACCGATTTGAATAATTCAAAAAGCATTCGGTTCGTTTTGATAAGGAGACGTGCTGATTAGTTTTTGGCGAAGGCAGGTCTAGCCGTTCCGAAGATATGGGGCAAAAAGTGCCACAAACGGTAGCTCAGTTTTTAAGAGAACGGAGTGTCCGATTTTAATAATTCAAAAAACATTTTACTTGTATTGACAAGATGAATAACTAGTTAAATTTTCATTAAGGCAGGTCTAGCGGTTTCGAAGATATAGTGAAAAAAGTAAAAAAAAAAATGCCATTTTACGGTCAAAAATGATCATTAGATATATGCACATAAAATTATCAGATATTTTATAGAGATTTTAACAATAAGTATAAATATTGTTTACATTCCTATGGGTTCCGTACCAATGTTTATCCGTTAGACGGCGACGCGGGGCTTACGCGCTTCGATATTTCGTCTCTATGCAGTTAAAGCTGTACGATTGCTTTGAAAAAAAGTTCAGAACTTCCAATACGATAGAAAATTTTCTATCCTAAACTCCGAAGAGTAAATACATAGTTTCGACAACTTGTTAAGTTATCATGGTTATTAGTGTGTTTTACCATTTGTGATGTTTGTGTTAAAAAATATATATTTTATCAATGTGCACATACTCATACCATGGATTAATAATGGTTTCATATGCTATATTAGGTTACAAAATTTTAATTTGATTACCACTGAATGATGGCTAAGATGCTAGCCGAAACGTATGGAATTTAAATAAATAAACTTTTAAAAAAACTCTCATACTATTTTTATTGATGTTACGCCCGAATATTAAACTCAAATTAAATATATATATATATATATATATATATATATATGTATTTAAATCAATCTCAGGCTACCTTTACAGCAGTATCACATTTTGTTTGATGATTTCGTTTAACTTTGGATTTTTCAGAACATGCACCCGATTTTGAATCTGCATTACATTTTGGGTGACTACTACATGTATGTTTACAGTTTTTGATTGATTTATCCAAACAATTCACTTTTTTTAAATAACAGTTCATAACTGTAATAAGAACCGTAATCAATCCATCTTCAACTAAATCAAAAATGATGTTTTTATCTAAAATATATTGACTCAGTACATCCAAAACCTGTAAGTATACAAAGTAATAATTAAATACTCAATTTTGTACAAACTCAAATAACATTACTTACTTGAAATTCTTAGATTAACACTTATACTTGTTAACACAAAACTTGTGAATAATTAATAACTTGAAACAAGCACTAAATGTCAGAGATTACTCTTTTTTTAACAAAATAAAATGTGTTGTTAATATGTATAAGTGTTAATCTAAGAATTTCATGTAAGTAATGCTTTCTGTAATTTTTTAATTTAAGATTTAGATATATATATAGTCTGTCTTTTTTGTTATAATTCTTTGTTTTTTTATTTTTGCTCTGATCATATTTATTTTTTAACGTTACTTTTTCTGTTTATTTTCAAACCATAGAACCAAGACTTCATTGATTTTGTTCAATATATTTACCAGTGATATTTTTCTCTTAGATGTAGATATAATTCCTGATTTATCAACAGACTTTAATAATACTCTCAAAGCTCCAGATGTTCTTGCTTTAGCATGCACTTTTATATCACGACAAAGTAATATAAGGCCATTGAAACCTAAAGGACAAAGGTTGTGTGATAATTATCAAATGTAATTTGAAATTATTTTATATATTTATTAACCTTCTTCAGAGTCCACCTTATTTATTAATGTTGTTAATGCAGTACTTTTGCCTAACATATCACGACACTGATCTAGATGACACAGATTATACAGCAATGTTAGTGCTAATTTGCTATTGAGTTTAATTTGTTTGCTTTCCTTGTGATCAGTATTTTCATAGTTTTTGTTAATTATGCCCGTTATTACATCTATTATTCCTTTTTCTGAACATATCTGAAAGAACAATTTTCATATGTATTAAAATTATATATATATATATATATATATATACACACATATATATATATAAATATATATGTATGTATATCTACATTTATATAAAAATAAGTCGGGTTTTCCTTCCTGACGAAATAACTCCAGAACGCACGAACCGATTTCGACAATTTTGCATTCGTTGGAAAGGTCTCGGGCTCCGCAAGGTTTATAGCTAAGAAAATTAGTGGTGCATCGTGCCTTAATGCAAATTGCTGAAACTTCACGCACCGTAATTGAAAATTCGGGTAATGGCATTAGTAAGAATTATCAGAATTATGCTTGGTTAAGTCAACGAGCAATTCTTGCCATTCAATGAAAAATTGCTGGCGATTTGGTGACATACCAATGATTCCGACTGGTCTTCCGTTTGACTTCAAACGATTGCAATTTCCAGTTCGCCTTGCGTTTGCAATGACAACAAACAATGCGCAAGGACAATCGCTTAGTGTTTGCGGGATAAATTTCAAATAGATTATTTAGAAAATCATTGTTTTTCACATGGGCAGTTATTCGTTGCCTGTTCACGAGTTGGAAAACCATCCGCTTTGTCGGTGTTAACGTTAGACCAAAAAAACAAAAATGTGGTTTACCAAAGAGCACTTTAATGAAACGGATAATTTGCGGATTCTCTTTCATTTACTTAGAGAAGTTCAACTAAAAAATACTGCATTTTTGTAATCAAAATAAATTCATTACTGTTGTGCAATAAAATCCTTTTTTTCCTTTTCAATTATAAAACAAACAAAAAATTTCTTCATCTTTCTCACAAAACCATATGGTGGCAGAGTTCGTCGGGTTTCCTAGTATATATATATATATATATATATATATATATATATATATATATAAGGTAAATGCACACTATATTCCGGGATAGTAAATTATTACTTCAGTTTTTCATTTTGATCGCAAAATAAGAAAATGGACAATAAATAATAATGGTATTCAATAGCACATCAATTATAATTTAGATCCTAACAAAATAGCACGATTTTCGAATTTAAATATTAGTTTTTGAAGCTGTAAAAAACTTTTGAGAGCATTGGTCGTGGACCCGATCGCCATTTCGTACTGCCTTGTTAGCTATAGTCAGATTAATGTGACGGTTCCGTTGCTTAAGGTTTTTATTCGATGTCGGTAAGATTAATCGATTCAAATTTGTGAAATTATTGATCAGAATTAATAAGAGATTAATTTTATAGTTAAATCGAGCACATATTTGTCAAGAAGTTGTCAATTTCATAACTCCCATAATTAGTTTCACACAATTAAGCCAGTGAACGTAATTATCTGAGTATCCCGCAATTACGAAAAGTAGACTTGAAATATTTTTAACTTACACATAGGGTATTTATACTAATAAGTATACTTATTACTGATAAGTAAGTAATTGTAATCGTCAAAAAATCGAAATTGAAAATTTTTACATTTCTTCACGTTTTGAAGGTTCCTGAACATTTTGGCATACCTCAGAAAAACCTCAGATGTGTGTATGTATGTATGGATACAAATTTTCGTCCACGTTTTCAGGCGTATCTTCGGAACGGCTAGACTTGCCTTCGCCAAAAACTAATCAGCACGTCTCCTTATCAATACGAATCGAATGTATTTTGAATTATGCAAATCGATTGATCCGTGTTCCCGATATCGTCGACGAAAATTTGTATCCGTACACACTACACACACACACAAACATCATTTTTTCTAAGGTATGCCAAAATGCTCAGAAACTTTTGAAACGTAAAGATATATAAAAAATTTCATTTTCGATTTTTTTGCGATTACTATAACTTGCCCTACGAGAAGTTAATAATTATTTAACAATATTTGTTATTGATAATGTAGTCCACACCGATGTGAATAGAATGGCGTTATTTGTTTGTCGATATCTTTTACAGTTGCGTCAAAAAACGACTTTGAAAAAGGGGCCACTTTCACATATTTTCAATGAAATCTCGGCAAAATGATGAGCTTTGGCCAAATGAGGATTTGAAATTTGGTATTTCAATTTTTTTCGAAAATACCTATAAAATGGCATGAAAATCTAGGCATCAAAATCCAATATCAAGGTGGGGCCAATTCTATATGGAAACACAATAAGACCCTTTGTACAAAAATTATGTGGATTGATTCATGAATATTTGAAGAATAACAATTATGTATATATATATATATATATATATATATATATATCTATGTATACCTTTTACATATTTGATTTAAATTTGGAACATATATGGTACATTACCTGACTTGCAAGGTAATCACTCACAGTAGAATTGTTGTCTCTCCTGCTCAAAGTCGTCATTGTCACCAGCGTTTTAAGTATAACATGTGCAAATCCCAATATTGCAGAATTCTTTTGGATTTCATGATATGCTAGTATTGAGACAATAAATTTAATTGTACCGACTGAAATTATATCATCTCTACAATTTTCATGAGTCCATAATATCCTAAAAAGTATAGTACAATATTTCTGTATTTACATTCTACATCATTTTCTCTTTCACATCATTTTTCCAATTAGTTTTGTATATACAATTACAAATATAAGCTACCTGATTCAATAATTAAGAGGATAATCTAGTGTAGAATTTCAAAAAAATCATTCGTCTTTTTGTTTCATATTTTAAAAGTTTAACGTTTTAAGAATGTCTGTGCCAGAAATTTTTTTTTAAATTCGAATTATTTTCAGAGATTCAGCTGTTTGACCATGACAATTCTCTTCTGTTTCCTTCCTCTGGCGAAATTTTAAACACCTTTTTCTCAAAACTGTCATTTTCCTTACGATCCCCAGGATTTCTAGAGTTCGACTAAACTGATTCACTTAAAATTTTCAGAGAATCTTCTTTATAGACTTCTCTCAGGCATACCCCAAATTTCCATCTTCACGATTTTTAAAAAAACGCATGAAACTCAAAAAGTGGTAAAAAAATTATCCTTTTTTCAAATAGTCTTGATTTAATAAAAAATGCCTGAATCAGAAGAATATTTTAAGCTGTTCCTCGAAAGCAATTGTTTGGCGTATAATTGACGTTTAATAATTAATAACAAAATCCACTGTGTGAATGAATATTATAAAATTAATTAATCAGCAATGACTTTCTCTAATGAAAGTTCATTTCTAAATGTTAATTACAATGGCAAACCGATCATGTCATATTTAAAGTGTGAATATTGTTTTTAAATATTATACATATTTTCAATGATATTATAAATATATAATTTATAATTTATCATTATATAAATGTGTATAATGGTTGACACTAATAAATGTGTGCATCACGAGTGTTACCATATTACTAATAAACATTATTCAAAATTGTTATATGATGTATTTATTTTTAATTAAATGGCATCTTGTACAGTAGCAAATAAGTTTTACTTCAATCGCGTGTGAACGTTACGCGCACTCTTTTTTTTATACTCTTGTAAAATTGATAAATAAATTATAACAAAAATGATAGTAATTGCCTCTTTTTTACAAAAATTTTTAAATGACCTAAAATTCATGCCTCTGCACTAGAATACCTCCTTAATGACTAATTGATGCATATTAAAAAAAGATCTCAATATATTTACTCATTAGATTTTATACAAACCCTAAGGCTCGAATGGCCATTGCAATAGTCGCCGTGCTTTCTTTAGGCTGTTCTATAATTTCAACGTAGTTTTGAAGGATGCCAACAAGAGCCCAAACCACACCAGCTGAATGAAAGTATTCTGCATTTTCTTTTTGCGTTGAAAGATTTGCAATGAGTCGACAAGCTCTGCATAATATACTATCTGAAGCAATATTTTTAATAATATTCACAAGCAATTCTGAAACTTTCAATCCGCCAACCTAAAATTAATATAATTGATACATAATTTAAAATTCACTAAAGATTCAAAATTTATTTCAAATATACAGAGAATAATGAATAAAGCCATAAAAACAGCATATAATTTTCCACGTTTAACACCCACCAAATACTTACAGACAGAAATAAATAATCATCCACTGAATAACATAATTAAAATAAAGAAATGCAAATTAATACACAAAATGAAATATGACAGAATCAAAACAAGTACAATAGACATAAATCAAGATTTATATGAACACTACACTAGACAACACAAAAATTTTCACATTGAACATAATAGAAAGAAGAAATTAAAAGAAAATGTCATATGGAGCGCTAGTAAAATATATAATAATTCTGAAACTATATCTCAAAATAAATTCTATTGATGACTGCTTATTATACTTTTTGATTATAAAATTTCTAACACCAGCATTGATATAGAGCACATAAATCTTTAAGTTTGATAGATGTAATAAAATTTCCGATTTAGGAGTTCTATTTGATTCTGGTTTGTTTTTCACAGATCATGTAACTGATATTTGTAATAGAGCACATAAATCTTTAGGTTTGATACTGAGAAATTGTAAACAATTTAAGTCTACCAATGCATTTCTTTGCATGTACTATTGTGCGTTCAAAATTAGAATACGGATCGATTAGTTGTATCCTGATCAAATCAACAACTCTGATGCGATAGAGAAGGTTCAGCAAAAATTTCTGAAATACTTTTATTATAAAACATATAAAATTTACCCTGAACGTGGCTTTGACCACAACACTTTACTAAAAGAATTTGGTATTCCTTCCCTTGCCTCACGTCGATTTATCTGTACAATTATGTTCTTATTTAAGCTTTGCAATAATTCTATTGACTGTCCTCTTATTCTCAATCAACTATCCTTTAATGTTCCAAGGCTATCTTCGCATTCACAATTATTTTTCAATTATCCTACCCCTAAATCTAATTCTCTCTTAAATTCGCCAATTTTACTAATGTCCTCTAACTTTAACTTAATTAATAATGAAATAGACATTCACAACACTTCACCTAATCAAATAATCTCCATCTGCACAAGTTAACCTTTTTATTTTCTTTTCAAATATCTCATTCTTTTATCTTATTCTGTTTATAAATAATATTGTTACATTTTGCATTATATGTAATTTTATCTTAAGCATTTTATGTTATGATATATTGTAATTTTGTATATATTTTAATTGTTATTCATTATGTAAAATAATTGTATTTTTGAGTCCTCTTGGAGAAATCTGTGGGCTATATATTTAAATAAATAAATAAATAATGAACTGCCAGTCGATGTTAACTTGATGATGATAAGTTTGAAAGGAAATTAAAGAAATATTATAAGGAAATTGAAGACGAAGAAGATTGAAAAGTTATATAAAAATATTTTAATTATAATAAATATTATACTAATAAAATAGGCAAATAAAATATGAAAACTGTTTTCATAAGATCATACCAGGCACATCTGTCTGACTGAGATATGAAAATAATATATATATAAAAATAAATATCATTTTAAAATATTAGGTTGTCAAATATCTCCCTTCCGCTTTTTTGCTCTTCGTTTATGATACAAAAAGGCGGAAGGGAGATATTTGACAACCTAATATATTTCAAACATACCGCCAAAGAGCAATTTTCTTGAATGCAGCAATTTCCCAAAATACTCAAAGTCAGATCTAAATTTTTCTGATTGGGATATTTTAACAAATCTACCAACAATTTGAGCCCCCCTGCCTTGTAAAATTGTTGAATTCCTTTGGCATCCGTGGTTATGGAATTACGAATTTTCAAAAGAATGCAATAAATTTTTTCCTTGTCTGCTGATTTTAAGCCCAGCAATAATGTTTTTAATTCAACTTCACACATTTTTCTATAATATTATGAAAGTAATAAACTCATTATAACAAAATATAAATTTGAATTAGACAAACTGCAATGACAATTGACATGTTGATTTATATGGGCTTGGTCAACAAAAATGGCGCTTGTCTTTGCATTCCCGTCACAAGCGGAAAGTAAATTATTGTTTTAAAATATTTTTATCTTGCTATTGCTTATAAATGTACCTTAAAGCACTATTTTACGATAATATTTATATAACAAATAAATGATAGAGTAAAATAATTAATGTTTTTTATACTTACTAGAGATCTTCATAGCAAAAACAATCATCTAAACGTGTAAAGATGTCGATAAGGAATAAATGTTAGCTGTAAGTGGAATTCTGTCTTAAGGCAATTAAGGCATCGTGCCTTTAGGCAAATTGCTGGAACTTCCCGTACTAAAAATTATTATTTTTTTAAAAACGATTAACATTTTTGAAAAAATTTTACTTCGAAAAAATAAGATTTTTGAGAAACTATAAATTGGACAAAAAATTATTTTTTTTGAAAAAAGAAAATTTTCTTTATTTTGACATATTTTGGAAGATCTGAACTTTTTTCAAAGCAATCGTACTGCTTTAACTGCATAGAGACAATATATAAAGCGCGTAAGCGCCGCGTCGCTGTCTAACGGATAAACATTGGCACGGAACCCATAGGAATGTAAACAAAATTTATACTTAATGTTAAAATCTCTATAAAATATCTGATAATTTGATGTGCATATGTCTAATGATCATTTTTGACCGCCAAATGGCATTTTTTTACTTTTTTTGTTATACCTCCGAAACCGCTAGACCTGCCCCTATCAAAATTTGATCAATTCTTCATCTTGTCAATACAAGTAAAATGTTTTTTGAATTATTAAAATCGGATGCTCCGTTCTCTTAAAAACAGAGGTAGCGTTTTTGGCACTTTTTGCCTCATATCTTCGGAACGGCTAGACCTGCCTCCGCCAAATACTAATCAGCACGTCTCCTTATCAATACGAATCGAATGTTTTTTGAATTATTCAAATTGCTTCATCCGTGTTCCCGAAATCGTCGACGAAAATTTGTATCCGCACACACATACATACTACGCACACACACACACACACACACATACATCAATTTTTTCTAAAGTATGCCAAAATATTCAGAAACCTCTGAAACGTAAAGATATATAAAAATTTTCATTTTCGATTTTTTTGCGATTACTATAACTTACCCTACGGGAAGTTAATTATTGCAAATATTGTAACATTGTCTAACTGAATTGCAAAGTTGAAATTATTTATTTAAAGTACATTAGAGTTTTTGCAGTCACAATTAAAAATAATAAAATTTTTGATATACAAAAAAAATCTTTTTTTATTATCTCTTTTATTTACAACTGTCCAGTAAAAGACATTCAATAAATTTGATGAATTTACAATAGTCGGCCGAAAAGGGACATTGTATACTACAAGGGCATGTTGGAAAAAACAACTCAGTAGTTGTTTTTTTATTCGATATAAAATTCACAATATTTTATTGATAATTTAATTATAATTATATATGATTATATTATAATATTATATAATTATATATAATTATAGAAAAAAAATTGAAACAAAAATTTTTTTTCCAAAAACAATTATTTTGTTAAAATAAGCAGAAAGTTCTTTGAATCATTCAAATCAGACGCTTAGTTCTCTCAAAAACTTTTCTTAGATCATTCAAATCGGGTGCTCCATTCTCTCAAAAACTAGATTTCTATTTTCTGCACCTGCTGGACCTGCCTTTGACAGAAACTAATCAGCACATCTCCTCATCAATAGGAAACGAATGTTGTTTGAACTATTCAAATCGGTTGATTCGTGCGCCCGAAAACGTAGACGAAAAATTGTATCCATACATACATACATACACATACACACACACATCCATTTTTTCTGGGGTATGCCAAAATGTTCAGAAACCTTCAAAACGTGAAGAAATGTAAAAATTTTCAGTTTTGATTTTTGGACGATTGCAATAACTTACCCTGTGGGAAGTTAATTATGTTTATCATTATACTTCAAAGCCCAAATTACTATAACCCATTAAGCCAAAATCCGTAATATTTATGTAATTTTTATGCAATTAATTTTTTTTTTTAATATTGTATTATAAATTATAAGATTAGTAATATATAACTATTATAAAGTGTTATTTATGAAATAAATCAATAATGTACAGAAGAAATAAAAAAATAGTTAAGATTTAAATCCTATAACCCAAATGAAATATTTTATGTATTATATCAATAGTTTAATTGGTTTTTATTGAATTGATTTTTCTATTACCATGTATAACAATAAAATACCTCCTACATTCCTTGAATATATGTTTTATGTACCAATGAATAAAATTCAGAAAAGTGACTAAATCAAATTCAATAACATTTGTTTCATATTTATAATTGATGCGTTTTCATGTATGCTTTCTTGCAATTAGTGCACAAAGAAATAATTTAATATTTTTTTCAAGTAAAACACATTTTATCGAATCGGCTCCTCAGAAATTGTCTCTTGCAGTTCAAAATAAATGTGTACAAGTGAAAACAATTATCAACATTTGGAAATGTAAAAAATGAAATATTATTTGTGTGTAAATATATTTTTTTATTCAAAATAATTTATAGTTTAAAATATTTTTAGAATTGGTGATATGCAATATATATTCTAAAAACATAACAAGATTCATATTTTATGTTGAACTATTTTATTATCAATGTATAAAATTGTAATTCAGGACGGAATTGCATTTTATTACTAAATATTATACTATATTATATTACTATCTTAACCATAATTCTTGTGAGATTACACAACGGTAAAAACTATTATATAAAGATTCAATTCAATATACATTCATTACTAGCTATTTCTGGACGGATTAAAATTTATATTTGTGCATAATTCAATGAAGCCACATGACTTTGGACTCCTTTACTTATTATTTTGGACTAATTGATTTATAGAGATACAAATTTCAGCTGATTTATTAGTAGTTCATCAAAAGTTGATACAAGAGTGCACCAACAACAGGAACAAAACTGACAGCATGTATATTAGAATTATTCTGAAACAAATCGAATAATTAGCATAGTGAAATGCAAAATACATATCTTAATATTAATATTTACAATGACATAATAATTGCATCGATCGCCTTGACAGCACTCAGAGCAGCTCCAATCTTCATACCAAATGTGCGTACAGTATGGCATATATTTTTCTCTAGTTTTAATGCATTGTTTCTTAGTAGCACATCTTTTGGAATAGTAATATTGTTTTTGAGCCCCCTATAATATATTAAATAAATTATTAGATATCTATGACAAAAAAAAATTTAAAGCAAATGGACAAATTTTGGCTTGATAGAAGAACGCATACACAAGTTTAATTTTCTCAATATATTTGAGTCAATGAACATTTTTGCTTTCTACCCATTATTAAATAATTCAACATTGAACTTATTTGACTTCAAAATTATAAGGCTAAGAAATAAGAGTTATGAATATTTATTTAGGGTTTACATAAATACATTATATAAAATTCAAATTCATTATTTTTTAAACCTTCTTTGCTTTTTGAAGTAAAACTTCTTTAGGCGCGACTAGGGTGTAAATCCGTACAAATGCAACAGAAGTACGTTACGGCTCTTGATGAAATCATTTCTATACAGGTCGATCGTGATTAGAGGTCGTGTATGTGAATACAGATCTGTTGTTGTATGCGTACCGGCATCAACGTTGTATGCGTTCTGATATCAACAAGAAAATCGGCATAGATAAATAAACATTTTAAAGTTACATCGAAGTAGAAATATTACAATTACCAATTAAACATTTGTTTCATGAACTAAACGTAAGTTTATTGATTAGAAATTATTTCTGTATTATTCGTAGTTTATATAAATCTTTGAAGTTATTAAAATGGAAAATATTTTTTAGGCAAGAGGCAGCAGTCAATGAATGTATGTTAATTTTGATTACATGAAGTTCTTCAAACGAGTAAACTCATTACAAGATGAGTGAAGTTGCGAAAACAATATTTGTCTAGGCATTGTTTAACATAATCCACTGTGTGAACGAATATTATAGAATTTATTAATTAGCAATTACTTCATTTCTCTAATGAAGGTTCATTTCTAATTACAATGACAAACCGATCATGACATATTTGAAGTATGATTTTAATTATTGGGGGGACCGGAAAGTAATGTCGTTTTCTTACGCTAAATTTCAAACACATACATTTTTAACGAGTCTTTATTTTTAATCAATGATGTATTCCCCATCATTTTCAATAACCTTTTGCCATCTAGTGAGTAAATTTTCAATCCCTGATCGATAAAAATTAATTGGTTTTTCGGCAAAATATCTAGAGATGGCATTTTGGATATCATCCAAATTTGCAAATGTTTTGCCACTTAAAAAGTGTTGCAGCCCTCGGAATAAGTGGAAATCCGATGGTGCAACATCGGGCGAATATGGTGGATGAGTCAAAACGCTTCTGTGTTGTGTCGTTGAAGCAATAAGTTGCATGTGATTGATCGGTTAGCCTTATTCTGTTCGGACAGATTATGCGGGACCCAAACACCTGCTCTGCTTACTTTCCCAATCTGCTTCAAATGTTCTTGGATGGTCGACCAAGGTTGGTTGAGACTGTTTGACAATTCCTCGATCGTCTGACACGGATTTGCTTCCACTTCCGCCCTCAACACGTCGTTGTCTAACGCTGATGGTCTTCCTGATCGATACGAGTCGGAAAGATCAAAATTACCCGATTTGAACTTGGAAAACCACCTTTGGCATTTATGAATGTCCAGTGCATTTGGATAAACATCGCAAATGTTTTTGGTAGCAACTGTTGCGTTATTTCCCTAGCAAAACTCAAAGAGCATGCAATGCCGGATGTGTACCTCTTCTGGTATTTGGCTGCCATTTTACCCAAAATTACAAAAAACAAATTGTAATTCAAATGTCTATAAGTAAAGAAATCACTATGTCTCACAATGTCTTTGGTACGCTTCTGAACCAAACAATGAGCTGACAAATGACAATCAAGTATTGGCATGCGCAGAAACGACATTGCTTTCCGGTCCCCCTAATACATTATTATTTTTAAATATTATGCATATCTTTAATGCTATTATAAATATATAATTTATAATTTATCATTATATAAATGTGTATAATGGTTGACACTAATAACTATGTGCATCACGAATGTTACCATATTACTAATAAACATTATTCAAAATTGTTATATAATGTATTTATTTTTACTTAAATGCCATCTTGTACAGTAGCAAATAAGTTTTACTTCAATTAATTGATTTTATGAAAATCCACTAAAATTTATTTTTTCGTAACTATATTGTTTGTTAATCAATAATCAAATAATCATGTTGACAAATGTTCTGAAAATGAAACTTACTTAGATGCAAAACGTCGATGCGAAAAATCTCTTAATAACCTTTCTGGTTTTGAATTACAATTGAATTCTTTGGTTGAAGTTCTACATGAAGTGTGTGGGTTTAATGAACTTAGTACAGTAGAAACTCGTTTATCCGTACCTCAGTCATATGGATTCACAGTTATCCAGATTACCAACCGCAACCAATTTATAGGACCAATTTGTGATATAGCAGCAATAAAGAAAAAAATTAGCTTATGCCAAATGACAATTAGCAAATACTTTTAACCAAATTAAACAAATTACCAAATATATACTGTATATACTATACTGTAAATTTTGTTGATGCTATGTATTTTTTGTTTTTAATAACATTATTTTTCATACATTTGAATATCTGGATCGACAACAATAAGACCGGTTAATAGAGTTTCTACCGTATTGACTTTAGTTACATATTTTTAGTATATAGTATCAACTTTACAATAAGTAAATGTTGAAGGTGACATATTTATTATCCATTGGTGCATAAAAATATTTTTTAATTCAATTGTAGTGTAATATTAATTTTTAATTCATTTGTAGTAATAAAATTTAACATACTTGTGACCAGTAAGGTGTACTACCCCATTTTATTTCTGTTAAACAGGCTGCTTCACCTTGCTTACAAGTTTTGATCGTAGTCACACATTTTCCAACATTATCTTCTTGTTCTGTGCAAACATAGCATTCCAATGACAAACCTAAATTACAATAAAAATGTAATCATTAAAGATTCTAAATAATAAACTTACTTTGTTTTCAATGATTGTTGACTCACATAATGGGACACATAATAATAATGATAAAATCTTGATCTGTAAAAGCATTTTGCAATAAGTTACGTTACCATATAATTACATATAAATATATCTATATATATAATGTAATAACATATCATTCTAATATTTAGTCAATCCATGTTTACAATTTACAAATTACACCCAAAACATGACGTACTTAAGTTTGTTGACAACGCCCTTGTTCTTATGTTGGTATTGGGATTTAACCTGTGTCAGTTTCAAGATAATGATCTCAGAACAAAATTCGCGTTCAGCAGAATTAGTTCGGGGTCCTATAGTAGTCGCAAATTTAGCGCCAGTGAGCCGATAAATAAGTATTGCCAAATGCAAATGTTTATTATCATAGATAAATAAGCAAATGTGTTTTTTCTGTTTGTGTTTGTACATTTGTTAATAAATTCAAACTCAGATACTGGACATAATCACTACGTAGTACATTGACAGATTAGTCCCCCTAGACAATATTAGAATGTCCTGTGTTCATAATAATATATTATATTAGTCTAATTATATTTCACTTTAAGGAAAAAGGCCAGTTGTAAAAAATCAAGTATAAGCTTCTACAAGAAAGACAAAATATTTAGAATTCTTCCAGCTGCTTAAAATTGGATTACCACTTTACGCGGATCTGAATATATTTGGAAGAATATAAATTGCTTAAGAATGTCAAATCATGCACGGGATGATTTGATGATTAATAAAAGTTAAGAATGACAGACGATGTAATAAACTAACATTATAATGCATTATTCACTAAATTTCACTAAATATTTATATTAATAAGCTAAAAATGCGTAGAAATTATTCCAGTAGATTAGGTGTGATGTATATTTAAACCAGCAGTGTATTTGTTGATTTAAATTTCGATTTGATTGTATACTTATATAATATTTTGTTATTTTATTATTACAAAACATAATATGAGTGTAATACCAAATTTAATTTCAAATACCCGATTACTAAAATTCATTAATTATTATTTCAAATTTAGCGCCATTAATTTGAATGTCAACAGCTGAAAGTAAAAATTGGGTGAGAGAAACGCACAATAGAAACGTCGTTAACGTTTTAACACGATGCTTCGTCTAGACACGACCCTCCTACCAGCTTTTATGGACAGCACATGATGCCTTCAGCCAGTGTTGCCAACATTAAAACATAAAACCAAAAGATTAAATATGAATGCCGGTGCACCAACAATGAAGAATAATAACCCCTACCATGTAAGAAGAAGAAATTTTGCTACTGTTATGTTTACTGTTTTGGCGTATAGATTTGATTAATATTGGGATTTCAATTGATCTTAAAATGTTGAAATGCGGTATAAATGACGAGATATAATTTTTTAATGTAGTTTTGAGCTACAAATATGCTTTTGATGTTTGATTGATATTTGAATTAGATAAAACATAGAAATACTTAAACAATTTTTTTAAACAAAAGGAGTAAAAAGCATAATTGAGATAAACTCTTTATTAATACAAAATTTATTTGTATTGTGTGTGTGAATAATTACCGTAGATTGCGTAGATCATAGATAAGCAAGTATAAATAGATAGCAAACAGGACCGCTTTTCGATTATTTTAACTTTAATTTTCCGCTCCTGCTATTGGCTATGTGCGAAAGGCATGGAAGGGAAAGTCAAATCGACCGAAGCGTTCGTAGTGGCTAACTTGGAGCACTAAAAGGGGCTATTATAAACAAAATTTTAAACAAAAACACATAAAATATTTATTTATTTCAAATTTAAATAAGATAATTAAAAATAAACCACCATGTCTGTTGTGTAGTGGGTTGTAGAAATACCAGCAGAAAAAGTGATTGCAAATTCTATACATTTTCTACAGCTAAGTGGAAAGAAAATCAACGGGAAAAGTGGATCGCAGCGGTTAGAAGAATAAAGTAAGTATCATAACCTTATTGTTATAAAAATACAATTTGGAGTATTATGAATAGTTGTAAAATTGTTATGTTTAGAAAAAGAAAAATTATAAGTCAATAAATTGTTGTATTATCAAAATTTAATGCTTACTAAAAAAATGTTTTGTAAAACAATGTAATTAATACAAGCCTGAAATAATGAAAAATACATATTTATATATTGTATATTGATTATGTATAACTATTATCTATATATTAATTACATTTTATTATATAATAATTGTAATTTTATGATTAAAAGAAAAATAAAAGTTATCACATAGCGAAAAAATGTTTATTTTGCAAACAGTTTAATTAATACAATGCTGAAATAATGCGAAATATATATTTGTAGTGTTGATGGATCACCGTGGGTTCCCAAGCCCTATGATCGCATTTGCAGTGAATCGGTCGAGGTATTGAGTCCTACCTACTTGTCAACTTGGTCTTGTCTTTATAATAATGTCTAAATTATGTCTTTATAATAGTGTCTAAGTCTTTTGGTTTGACCAAAAAAATGAGTAAATTAATTTATTATTTACTTATTCTATTGATAAAATACTATTTATCATTATTATATTGTTTTTAATAAGAACTATTCCGAGATTATGACATAGGCTTTGAGGCACTTAACCTTAAAATTATTTACTGCATTTCTTTATTTAATTAATCATTATACTCAACTATGTTTTAAGTACGTTGAAGTAAATTTAATAATTTCAATAAACATTCAGCGTTCACATTATTACTGTATCTTGTTTATTATTATTTATAACAATTATTTAATATCTTTTTTCTTTAACAAACATGTAAAACCCATGAAAACCACACACTGATAGCCCCAATTAGTTCATATTTATTACGGCGCTGCATGGGCGCTGCAGTCACGCTCGGAGCGACGAGTGTAGCATGTAAATTTACCCCTAGGTTCGATTCTAGATAAATCCCTTGGTTTAAGTCTAAGATAAATTTAAATATAATCTTATACTTGTTTATCTATGAATATAATATTGTTACAATGATCTGAAATTTGAAAGAAAACGTGTTTACATAATTTAAATTAAGTACAGTTATTAATGAATAGATAAGATTTTCAAACATTTGCAAAAAAATACACGGGTTTTTTCTGTCTCAGTCGAGATTTATTGACCCTGAGTATTCTCTTGTACTGCTGAGAAGCCAATTCATCGACCTTCGAAGGTGTTCTAGATGTTCACGCTTTTTTTTAAATATGGATTTTCCAGTTTAATTTCTAATACCCAAACAGCTTACATGATCTTGGCTTGAAATTTGTTCGTTATAAATAGCGACAGGTGGGCATGTACTTTTTCTAAGAGTGAACGTTATGTAAACAGTTAAGTAAACTATTTTTCAATTATATCAAGGTGTGACTGTAATGTACTAACACAAATACTCACCGGTACAAATCCAACTTACATAACAATAGAATTTTACAGTACGCAAACCCTCATCATAAGTCTTATGCACAGGTAATAAAAACGCAATCAAATCTGTTTAATAACAATCAATATTAATAATATAGTAATACTCCATCGATGTCTGATTTACTGACCGAATTTAAAAATATGTTTAGCCAATTAATGGAACAAATAACCATGATTATCAAAATTTTTCAACGTTAATCAACAAAATGAACTAATGGTTAATATTTTAAATTTAGGATTATGGAATGCCAACCCTTGTATCAACATGAAGCCGAGGTAGAATTATTTTTGAGACACAATAATATGAACATCCTTTTGATTAGTGTTCACTTAATTAATTTCACTAAATATTCAAACTTTATATACTAAATTACAAGGCATACTTTACTAACCATCCCGATGGCACCCCACATAATGGATTTGGCCGAAGGATTTGATCTAATTAGGATATCACTCGATGAAATGACCATAGAGGTTTAATATTTATAATTTTTTTTATCAAGAAGCGTATGTATATATGCATGTTAGTGTATATGTTAATTTCATCACAATATATGTAGTTTTTCAAGAAATGGCCGAAGGACCTGAGCCAATTAGTATATCACTTGTTGAAATGATTACTATTATATAATTTCTTTTTCCTGTCAACGTGCGTGTAAGTATGTTCGTGTGCATGTATGTATGCATGTTTGTGTACATGTTAATTTTATCACAATAGCTCATAAGATATTTTGTATTCTGATTGCTGTTAATAATGAAATAAAAACATGTCAATTATTAGATATTTCGAGAAATTCATGCAACTTGCCTTAAGGCTAAGTGTCACTTCCAACTAGTTACAAATACTATTACTTTCAAATTTTCATATTTTACAGACAACATATAAGATTTTTTTGAGGATTTAAGCATGTATTTCATCAAATATATTGAACTAAATTATATTATTAAGTTCCCGTAGGGCAAATTATAGTAATCGCAAAAAAATCGGAAATGAAAATTTTTATAGATCTTTACGTTTCAAAACCTTCTGAACATTTTGGCATACCTTACAAAAAATGGATGTATGTGTTTTTTTTTTTTTGTATAGCGAAGGAAATGCCTTTACGCATCCCAGACCGGTCTTCTGTCTGGGTATGCCGGACTCGATACCGCCCTGGTATAATACCGACTAAAACCTCCGCTTTGCCCCTGCCTCTGGTTCTCACGGAAACCAGAACGGAACGTCCGATTTCAAAACTTCAAAAAACATTTTACTTGTATTGACAAGATGAAGAATTGATCAAATATTCATGAAGGCAGGTCTAGCGGTTTGATGAACATTGTATTTAATGTTCAAATGCTTTTTTTTCAGCTCTTTTTTCAGAAGCGAAATTCGTGCAGCTACTATGATTATTATAAAATTACTATCCATTTAATATTAATTATGAATAAGCTTGATAAGAGCCTGAAATAATATCTATTATTATTGATTACGGCATTCTTATGAATAAATAAAATAAATAAATAAAATATATACAATGTTTTTTGAATGATCAAATCAGTAGATCCGTGTACAGCCCATCTTTATATCAATAGGAATCAAATATTTTTTGAATCATCAAATCAGTTGATCCGTGCTCCCAAAATTGTTAAGGAAAAATTATATCCAAACGTACATACATACTATACACATCCATTTTTTTTTAGGTATGCCAAATTCTTCAGGAACCGTTGAAACGTAAGATATGCAAAAAAAATATTTTAGATT